GAGGAGGAACTTCGCTGCGGTGATGGCAAACAGACGACCACAGAGAGAAGCTGTGGAACCTGGTAAACAGTTCTAATTTTGTTTATAAAGTGGACCATAATTTAATAGACTTTTTGATGAACAAGAGTCTCTTGTTTGTCCTAAAACTGTCACTTCAACCATATAGACTACATGATTTCACTTTTTAAAGTTAATCACTTAAATAGTAAAATAATTAGCCAAATGCTCCCATTTTGTGATACATACAATGTGTTATGTAAAAGATCATGTGACAAGTGTGCTGTTGATTTCAGAGGAGGAGCATGAGGAAGAAGAAGAGGTGGAGCAGCAGAACTTCCAGCCGACAGCAAAGGTTGGAGCCAAGAAGCAGAAGAAGCTGGAGGAGAAACAGGCCAAGAAAGCCCAGAGAGAGGTGAGGTCCATACTGCCCACCCATTCTAAGCTGGCACTGAGTGTGTAGTCACACTGGAAAAGTGACAAATTGGTGTAGACTCAAAGCAGACAATTGACTGAATATGTTTGATTTTGTTGATGGACACTATTCTCCCAAAGTGCAGAATAGAAATGGAGGAAATGCTCACATCAGAAAATAAAATCTCAAATATTGGGAAAAACATTTTGACATTTTGTCAAAGTTTAAAGGTGGGGTCAGTCATTCTGGAGAAAGATAGTTGATTGTTGAGTCAGCGATCTTTCTCCAGAATGACCGACCCCACCTTTAATTAACCTTTCCTAAGTACTGCCCCTTTTTTGCTTTATGCTCCAATAACATTTGAGCAAGCCTTAGTCAGAACCTTGGTCAACTACTGTATCTCCTGTCCTGTACTTGGATAATGCTATGTGCTAGGCTCAGCCATGACATTATGACCACCTACCTAATATTGCCTAAAATTATATTACGAAGCATGGACTCCACTAGACCTCTGAAGGTGTGCTGCGGTATCCGGCATCAACACGTTAGCAGCAGATCCTTTNNTAAGTTGTGAGGTGGGGCCTCCATGGATCTGACTTGTTTGCCAGCACATTCCACAGATGCTCCAGGAATTTGGTGGCCAAGTCAACACCATGGTCTTGTTATTGTGTTCCTCAAATCATTCCTGAACATTTCTGATTTGTGGCATGGCTGCTGAAAGATGCCACTCCCATAAGGGAATACTGTTTCCATGAAAATTCAGCTCTTGTGGGGTGGTCAGTACCTATCAAAAGTGGTCCAAGGAAGTAAAACCGGAGACAGGCTTTTTGATGCAGGTGGGGAGCGAAGGCTGTCCTGTGTGTGAAAAAGTTAATGCTAGTTCTAATAAAAAGGTGTCAGAACACATAGTGCATTGCAATTTGTTGTGTATGGGGCTGTGTAGCAAAATGCTAGCTAACTAGCAAGATAATTTACATCAATCGTTAGCTAGTTACATCTGCTAACTAATTACAAATTGATTTAAAATAGCTAGCTAGTCAGGTAGCGTTTTGCATCTTCAAAATGTCTTTCCAATACAGACGAGCCCAGAACATATTATAGTACAGGAAGGCTTGCTGAACTGTTATCGGAGCACAGAGCAAAAAGGGGCGGGACTTTGGAAGGGTCAATTGGCAGAGACATTGTAAAGTAGCAGTTTGTCCAAAGCGCATGTATTGTAACCTTTCAAGAAATTGTCAAACTGCAGACTTACTCTTTTGCTGTAATATGTAGTATATACTGTATAGAATTAATATGTAGTTTAGAATAGGGACACAACCTGAGCTGGGATTAAGGGATGTCACAGTGGAAGATCACTTAATGTTTCTAAATGGCTTACTATTCTATATCTGTTCAAAGTTTTCAAAGGTGTTAAATGACGATTCTCAGATGTCTTTAGCTCACTGTTAAGGTTTTAAAACTCCCAACACAGGTGGAGATGGAGGAGAGGGAGGAGCGGAAGAGGATGCAGGAGCTCAGAGAGCAGGAGAGACGAACGGAAGAGGAACGAGAACGACTGCTGGAACAGAAACAGGTCACACACACACACACACACACACACACTTCACCCGCTGTTTACTCTTGTTCATACGAGGAGATGCTGAGATTCTGTGCTGGTGTTTATTCAGGAGGAGGATGAGCGCCGGGCTAAAGAGGAGCAGGAGAGACGAGAGGAAGAGGAGTACTTAAGACTCAAAGCCTCCTTTGTCATAGAAGACCAGGGAGAGGAGGAGCAGCTCACTGAGGACCAGGTCACATCTCTGCTGAGCTAGTATCATTTTAACGTTCCACTTTCTCTGTCCTTTGACTTTTAAATATAACAACTTGTTTGTGTGCTTTACTCAGTCACGCAACCTGCTGCAAGAATTCATCCAGTACATCGAGGTGAGAGCTAATACATTCCACACACTCAACCCTGTATTGATGTGAATGTACTGTATTGAACAGTGTCCCCTCTGTACTGCAGAGCTCTAAGGTGGTCCTTCTGGAGGACTTGGCTTCTCAATTTGGGATGAGGACACAGGATGCTATTAGCAGATTGCAGGACCTGTTAGCTGAAGGCTCCCTCACAGGTCAGTGTGACCAGGGCTGATATGGATGATGCTCCTCAGATAAAACATGGGCTCTTACTCTTTGAATAAACGGCATGTAGAAATGTTCCTTTATTAGTCGATCATCAGAGAAGTAATCATTAATGCCAACATTACCTACTATCTACCATTTTCTGCAAAATAAAATTGGTGTTAAACTGTTGGTTGGACAAAACACAGGATTCAAAGACATCCCTTTGAGCTTTTTCATCCAAATGCGCATACAGTATACATACACATACAATACACAACTACCTGTGGTATGTGACCTCCCTCTAGTGGTGTATGGAGGAATCCATTTGTGAAAAAAAGACATTCATTATTTTAAAAACATTTAATACTATCAAATGACATCCAGTCGAATGAAAATACTAAATTATGATATTCTTGAAATGTAATTCAAAGCAAGTTTTGCTTTTCCTGTAGTAGTTTTGTTCCAGCATCAGCCTGCTACAGAGTTTTCATGCACCATAGGGTGTGCATACATCCATGATTTATTACACCATGCTGACACCAAGTATCAGTTATAGTGGTACCTCTTTGTACACCATGTCTTTGGCTGAGCAAAGTCAACAATAAATAAATAAACAAATAAAGGAATAAACCAGCCTGCTTTGTGAACTGTCTATAGCTGAACAGTGTTGGCCTACACTACTGTATTTTAATGTCGGTCATTACAGTGGTACTAATATGGTGTAAAAAGTTTGATACTTTTTTTTTAAATATATATAATGCGATGTATGTGTCCTGCAGGAGTGATTGATGACAGAGGGAAGTTTATCTCCATCACTCCAGAGGAGCTGGATTCAGTGGCTCAGTTCATCAGACAGAGAGGCAGAGTGTCCATTACAGAGCTGGCTCAGGCCAGTAACTCTCTCATCAACCTGACGCCTGAGAGCCGCAGCACTGCCTGACAGACCCCTCACTGATGCAGGACACCTGGACCACAGTGTTTATGAGACTCCTGAAGAGTAACGTCTGAAGTTTTCACTAAGCTGCTTGTGAAAAGCACATCAAGGACTGCTATTGGCTTCAAAAAGACATTTAAAAGTTGAAATGAAGACACAGTAACTGTGTATGACATGAAATGAAGCCCAACAATATGGATAAACAGTGACTTTGCTTTGTTGTGGGAAAAAAATAAATAAATAAAAAGTACAGTTTGAGATTCATATTTTTGTCAAAACGTTTCTGTGTTTGGACTTTTTTACTGTGACTTTCATGGTGATCATGTCATACAGATCATGAAATTCACACCTAACATGGAGATGTCCTCACCCTTTAATTTTAAGCAGAGTAGGGCGGCTGTGGCTCAGAGGAAAAGCAGGTCATCCTCTAATCGAAAGGTTGTTGGTTCTATCCCCGGCGTCTGCCGCCACATGTATAAGTAACCTTGAGCAAGATACTGATACTGTGCATTGGGTGGTGTGAATGTGTAAAAACAGAATGCGTTAATTTCTGTTCGATGGACTTTGCCATCGCTGATGGGGGGAGTTAGTGAAAGGGTGAATGTGGCATGTAGTGTAAAAGCGCTTTGAGTGGTCGGAAGACTTGAAAGGCGCTATACAAGTACAGGTCCATTTACCATTTCTATTCAAGAGGAGTGTGACGTTTGAATTTATACACAAGTGGCTTTCTTGAAAGAACCAACTAGTTCATTAGTTACCTAAACTGCAACAGAGGTTTTTCTGCATGTGATGTCACTTAGATTGTCCACCTGTAGTCATTGTTAAAAAGCAGCAGACAAGGAAGGTCATGTGACAGTCCATCAACCAAAGAAGATCTTTGATCATTGACATCACTGAGCTCTGGCCCTCCAAGGGAAGAGGTTTGGGAACCCCAGCTACTCATGTTTACGTTCTGGTCGTACAGCAAAGTAAAAATATTCTGTCTTACAATCTTTTCATTAATTTCCTTGTAACTTAGATAATCATGCCCCCTGCTGGCCATCTTTGAAATGTCTCCTACACTTTGTCTCTCAAAAGCAGAGGCACAACTGTATTTTACCCCTTCACCTACTGTTAACACCAGCTAGACGTAAGCTCTTGTTATCACGAGTCTCTACTGCATACAACTTAAATCACTCTCTTTGTATCTATTTACTCCAGTTATATATTTTATATTTTAGTTATAACTACTTTAGGTTTTAGTCCTTTTCCATATGCTTTATCTTTTGTCAACCAACTTTAATATGATGTCATTTTTTTAAACAATAATTATATTCTTGAAATGTTAGAACTGTTCCTTTAATATGCATTTGTTTCAACACTCAGCTTTATAGTCCCGTACGATCAGCACAGGACCTGCTCTAGGGCCAGTATTAATACTGAGTGGCTCACTGTCATCACTGTGATAAGAGATTAGTGGGTTTTCTTAGGTGGATCTTCAACACAAGTTTTATCATACAAAACAAATCTGCACCACAGAAACACACAACTAATGAACATAAAATCTATGACTGTGCTTAAATAGACAGATTTTATTACATAATATATCTTCTGACGTATGAAGGAATATGAGTTCATACACTGATGACAGGCACATCAGGCATTTATAACCTGAAGTTTGTTTCTGTTCTCATGGAATCAGGATTGTTTGGTCTCTTGTTTTCAAAGGTCTTTCAGTCCACAAGCCCGAAATAAAAAGTGAGTCTCAGAGGCTGAGGTGGATTTCAGCTGGATGTCTCTTGGTCTTTGTCCTGGACTCCCTGTCCTCTCTGAGTGATCTCCCACGTCGAGTTGGCTCCTCTATCCTGAAAACAAGAAAAATAAATCTCCCTGTAAACTATACTTGAAATATCTGATATCAGAATAAACGCTGCATGTTGCCACAGTTCAGTTTTCAGTTTGATGTGAGCTGACCCAGCATACCTTTATCAGCACACCCAAGGGTGCCAGGTTGTTTCTGATGGTGTCGCAAGCTTTGAGGAGAGGGATTCTCTCTGGGTAAAGTCCAGGTTTGTTGAGAGATCCAGCGGTCAGGCCATCTTGACGAGCAAGTGCGAATGCTCGAACTTCAGTTCTGAAACGGGTCAGCTGCTCCATGACGCCCTCCAGACTTCCCTGATGACAAACAGCATCAGACTCCTGCATGTGAAGGCGGGACATCAGAGGGGAGGGAATGTGAGATGACAATACAAGCCAATTTGAGTTTGAGACCCATGCTGTTGTTTTTTGACTCATTCACACAAATGCTGCCCTGCCACCAGTTGTGAATCTAAAAAAATGACAAAAACCTGTCCTGAGTACTGACCTTACTGTGCATCAGATTTATCCCAAACACGTCCAAGACATCTCTGATGTAGCTGACCATCGCTGCAAACACGGCAGGGCTCCGAGCTGCTCCATCACACTAAACGGGTACAATACACACAGAAATTATTTCCCTGCTAGCTGTGGTCATACAGTCAGCGATCTATTTAACTTTCCCCTTCGCGATTACATTCTTGTTCCCCTTCTGGGGTGGCTGAAGACTTAGCAGTGTTAAGTGTAATTTTCAGTGTGTTTATGTATTTCCAAGAGAGTCAGGTGTGCAGCGAGGCACAGCGAGTTACCTCAGAAACAGGATGGAGTTGGCAGTTTCCATGATAAATCAAATTCATCACAGCACTTATGGCTCTCGGGGTATCAAAGTCGTCTGCCAGTGCTTTCACCACGCTGGATTTAGTCTCAGTCAACCTGAAGAAACACAAGTTCTCCCAGTCAGCTCAAACATAACTAGAAGAAGAAATAAATAATACTTTCTTACCTTTTCGGTTTTTTAGGGGGACAAACAAATATAGACTTCAAATCACCTTGTAACAATGCGAATGTCTTTTAGAGACAAACCTTTAAACAAACAAGAACTGGATGGATGCTTCCTCCAACAAAGTTGCAAGTCAAGTTGCAGTTTCTCTGCCCAGATCTGTCCAGACTCATACTCTTGTCTCTAGTCTTTTGACTAAAAGAGTCAATTCAGTGTCATATCAACTGTGAAATATTTGGACAATCTCCCAACCTGTCCCTGAGTTATGGTGTTGGGGTCAAAAAAGTGTTTTTCCAGGATATTATGATGCCACAATGAAGTTGACCTTGGACCTTTTGGATGAAAAAATATCATCACTTCATTGGATCCAAGTAAACAACTGTGTAAAATGTTGTTGTAATTACTACATCAATTCGTATGACCAAAGACATGTTTGTCAAGGTCATTTCACAATGACTTTTGAGCTTAAAGTCAAAAGTGTGGGCCATTTATGCCAGATGGCAGAAAGACTGATGGACAATCCGAAAATATCATCATGTATGCCACAAGAGGCAAGTGATGCACAATTCAAGCCAACACATAAAAAACCTTACTCTCCAAATTATGCATTTTCAATATGTTCCCACACATCAAACCTTTTTTCAAAATATTGTACACTATACTTACTTTCCCATGGTCAAAGTGTCAATCACCAATTTGGACATTTCACATGAAATACTGTTTTACTCTCACACATACAGATAATATGGGTTGAGAACTCAACAGAAACTCAGTATAACAGAAAGCGAAACAAATATGATGAAGAATCAAAACATGAATGAATTATTCAAACTGTGGAGAAAGTAACTACCTCTCCCAGAGCAAAGCTTCCTGTACAGGTGAACACTGCACCTGACCCTTCATGTAGGCCTGAGCATCATGGATGAAGGTGGAGATGGTTCCCAGAGAGGTCCGAGCCTCCGACATGCTGCTGTCACTGTAGATAATACCTGTGGAGACAGCACATAAATCATATTACTGCAATTAACACAGTCTACATCCTGCTTCATTACTTTGCCACTGGAATAATTTGCCAATTCTTTCATCATCATCATCATGCATTAAGAAATACTGTTTTAAACTAATATAGTTATGTATAAATGTACCAATAATTAAAAATTATTTCTGCCATTAAATGATAAACATATGGATTCAAAATGTCTTCATATCACATTGCACTGTGGAAAAGAAACTTCAAAAAAAAATTAATTGTTTACCCACCTGACCGGTATTTACTCAAAAGACAAAACATACGGAACTCATTGGCAGAGTAAGACTGCAGGAAATCCTGATGGAAGACAAAAACAGAACGTCAATATACAACATGGAAGATACAAGAAATGATTGATTTACTCAATAGGTGATGAATAATTCATGATGACTTTACCTTGATGGTGACATAGTTCTTTAAAGATTTAGACATTTTCTCTGCACTGCCTTTTAGGTGTAAGTGTCCTAAAAACAATAACAACCAATCAGGTGCACATATTCACAAACAGAAACAGTAAGTGTGGCAGTCTTTTGAGGGGAAGCCTCTTGACTTGACATATGCAGAGTTGTGCAGCAGTGCCCAGAGTTCTCACAGATAACTACAGCTGCAAGGATTAGCAGATTATTTGTCAACTATTGAATTGAATTAATCTGCAACTTTTTGATGATCAATTAATCGTTTTAAGTGGCTTTTGAAAAAAAATAAAATAAATCTCTGATTTCATCTTCTCAATTGTGAATATCTTCTGGTTTCTTTGGTACTTGGTGACAGTAGTTTCTAACCTTTTTCCTTAAGGGACCCCTTTTCTATCTTTAGACTAAACTGACACATTTTATGGATATTTCATATTATCTTCAATGCATAACAATAACATTACAGAACAACTGTATTGGTGAAATACTGAACACAATAACTGCAGAAAGTTTGTATAAAATTAGCAATTTTGATAGATTTTGAGCAGATTATGTGAATATTGCATTAGAGACACAATTCTGTGTGTATTTTGTTTGTTTTTTTCACAATCATACATACTTAATAGACTTCTTTTTTTTGACAAATTCAGTGTTTTGTTCTTCCTGATGCTTGGCCACTGTTCTATTAGTTCTGTGGAGGTTTTGACTTTTCCAATGCAGAACAAGGCTGTTTATCAGCGAGTAAAGGCTCTGTAAAGATAGCTTGTGTTCAGGTCTTCCAAGTTGAGATCCTAAATATTTATCTAAACTTTAAAAATAACAATTTCATTAGGTTTCTTCACATAAATGGATGAAATGCTGAGATTAAGACATATTGGGGAAATTTAAGTACATGTAAGTTTTTTTACAGTTTTAAAAACAACTTCAAAACCCCAGGTTCGCATTTTTTTAACATAAAACGCATTATAAAATAAAAAAAATTAATAAATAAATAAATAAATAAATAAATAATATATATATATATGTATATATATATATATATAAACATTACCTACTATTTCTTCACGGAATTAGTCTGTAAAATTTGGTAGCTGTACTGATTACGAATTTGGAGATTTGAGTGTAAGCAAAATCTCATTTTGAGAAAATTAAATATTCAGATATTGATACTAAATGTTCATGTCTGGCCTCAGTGCACCCCTTCTTTTTTCATCAATAGTTACATCTACCAAACATATCAACCATACGTATTTATTACTTTATGGTTATGAAAGTGTATCAACCTTGGCCTAGCACTAATGTATAAAATTCTGGAATCACAGGCTAAATTCAAGCACTTTTTAAGTATCTCTTTATTATTCAGTCAATCCACGTTTAACTATTTGATTTTTTCCCCCCAAGCACCCGTACTTTCCACACTCATTGGTTCCAATGTGATTTTTTAGTCAAAACCCTGCTGGGATTGGGGATTTACCTGAGTGGAGGAAGTAGTTTGCCCACTGTCCACACTGGTGATAGGCTTCACTCTGAGCGATCTCATTCTCATGGTGAGGAAAGGCCAGGTCGATACCTCCAGAGTGGATATCCAGCTGACTCCCAAACACTGAGCTGAAACCACCACAAAGACAACTGAGTCTGAAAGCACGCAATATAATTACTATTACTAATTACTAATAAATCTTATTGATATGAAAAGGGAAAATGCAAATTAATGTTTTGCTACAGAGCCAAACCGATTTACCTGAGTAGAGGAGGTAGTTTGCCCACTGGACAAAAATACTGCATTCACATTTTGTCTTTACAACCTTTTGAGTACACCTTGCTTAAACCAATGCAAATCATTTATACCACTGAGGGTAGATTAGATATTAGAAACATAAGATAATACAAGCCAAACATATCCTCTCAAATGATCGTACACAGTCCTCTGAAGATTAGAACCTCTATAAAATACTTATTATAGAGCTGTTAGATTAGATTGCATTAGTTTCAACTAGATAGATACTGCATTAGACTGGGCTTCAAAGTATTAGTCAATCATAAATAAAATTTAGTTGAGTATGAATTGTGCCGAAATCCTTTCCTATCATTCCTGTTAGTGTTAGAAGTACGTCTAAAACCAGTGCTAGTTTTGGACTGTGGCTCAGAGGTCGAGCAGGTCGTCCACTAATCGTGAAGTCATATCAGTACAGCGGGTTGGGAATCACTGGACTGAATCACTAACATATAGTAAGACACTAAATGATGCAGACAGGTTATTGTAAATCCAAACCTAGCGATGGTAGAGCATTCGATATGCCAGCCTGGTCTTCCTCTGCCCCACGGAGAGTCCCAGTATGGTTCCTGAGGATTGGCGTGCTTCCAAAGAGCAAAATCTCGTGGGTCTCGCTTAGTTGCGCTGCCTGAAGAAATGTGTAGTTTGTTAAAGGTGACATATAGTCTGCCTAATAGAGAGCAAGCAGTGCCAGTAATCACAGTGTGTGTGGCTCTTAAAAAGCCAAATTTGAGAACTTTTAATCGTTGCTTGGGAAGAACTCTGATTGGTAACAAAGACAATTTGAGAAATTAAAACAGAAAGAACAACTACAGAGAATAAATGTCAGAACTGTTTTTTTTTTTTTTTTTCTAATAATAGTATTGTTATTTTTTTAATCTGATTGCTGAAAAAATACTAAGCGCTACTTTGGCTTGATGCAGCTGCCTCTCTGTCCCGCCCACAACACTATCTGATTGGTTAGATCTTCACAAGTAATAGTAGAGTAATAATTTAATATTAAATATTAAACATATTGTAAATATCTATATTGGATTATAATTATTGATACATTCATGTGTTCAGCACTTTACTTACTTTATACTGCTTGGTTGCTTAATCTATAATAATACATCATCATTTATTACTTGATTTACATTTTGTATTAATAATGTCAATCTGCAAAGTAACTAGCTACTACATTTATCAAATAAATATAGTGGAGTAAAGTACAATATTTACTTCCAAAATGTAGTGGAGGTATTAATACATGTAGCTAAAAATTGTCCACGGTTGCACTCCACCACTAGTTATTCTAAATTTTGACACTAATCTTTATAGCAAATGTATATTGATTATTGGTTTCCTTGATTGCTAATAATCGGTATATGTATAGGCCCTGAAGAAACAATTTCATTCTATCTATATTTTATAGCTGAAGCTAAAACTATAGAGGGACTAGACATTGTATTCCTTGTTCTCCTTTACAGTTTGAGCATTCCAGCTGGAAGAAAAAGGAGATTTCCTTTAAACAAGAATAACAGCATTTCACTCGATCTATTCAAAAGAACTGGCTTCAGTGATATACACCTGTCCTCTAATATAACAAAATCAATGACATTGCTGAAGCAGACACAGACACTTACCATGTTCTCCCTGATATTCCACAGCTCTCACAAACTTGCCATATCGATCACCAATGGACTGGATGTCAAAATACACGTCACCTGCAATCACGGCATTTCCCAAATGTCAAGTACCATGGGGATACAGCCATTATTTCATAAGAGAAATAATATTAACAAATTCATAAAAAATGACCTTCTTTTGTTGCATAAGCGTGTCCATTCTGGATGATCCTCTCAATGAATGCAACAATATGGTGCACGTTCTCAGTGACTCTTAAATACACTGCAGGAGGAATGACCTCAAAACAATAACAGAATACAAATACATGTTTATAGATACAGTGGTTACCATTTATATCAGGCTTGACGGTGGTCTGTAAATTAAATCTCATTTTAATGTAACAAGACATTGAATATGATCTAATCACATACCTTTAATGACAACATATCCCTCTTGAATTCATCCTCATACATTGTGGATATGATGGTTGTGGAAACATTTTCCTATACAACAAGGGAAACAAATTAAAGATGTTTTCAACAAAGCTAATAAAAGACAGCAGTCAATGGCCAATAGGTTAATTCCCCAAAAATAATACACAGATGGATCAGTGAAATACATAGTGAAAATGATAGTGAAAATTCCAGCAAATCTTACAAATTCCTCATTTGAGTTGGGATGGATGGGCTTTCCCAACAGCTATACATCAGTATAGCACCCATCCCCCTATGAAGAATGGTCAACAATAATTGTGCAATTGGCTGCTAATGTTACAATTTAACAAGTTAATCTCTTTCGTTTCCCCTAGTTTGTCTTGGGATGTACATGTATATGGGTGTTCATCTCTTTTAGATCGCATACCAATCAAAGTATTCACTGTATTTGTTCTATTGTTCAGACTTCCAATAAAAAGGAAAACGTGTATAAGAAAAAATGCTCTTGTGATTTTACCTCCAAACTTCTCTTGATGATTTTGTCATCAATGTCAGTGATGACCATAGCATGGATGACAGTGATTCCAAACAACCTGGACAAAATCCTCTGCACGATATCAAACCGGACATAAGAGCTGTGACAAGACATAAAGCCATTTAACTCAGGCACATTTTACACTCTTTAGTTTGTACACAAAGTGTTTATACCAGTACCATGCATGACCCAGGTGGGCCTGGTCGTACACAGTGGGTCCACAGCTGTACCTGAGAGACAACACATATGAAATTCTGTGTTATTATGCGGCTATGAATATGGGCAATGCGGTATATATTAATCACATATTCCGTACCAGGTAGCTACTCCCTCTCTTGCCAGAATGAGAGGCTCTTTCTGTTTAGTCAGGCTGTTAAAAGCCTTCAAACCCGTGTCAAACCCACTGGGTCTCACCCACTTCTTCCCCGAAACACTGCCACACGATCCATTCGACCTGAACTTTAAAGCGTTGACTGAATGAAGCCCGCGGAGGACCTTTGCTTTCCATATCACTGACCTCGCTGAGAACCTCCACATACTGACAGCTTGCTAGGTATAAAGCAGCATACGCACTGCTAGCTTAGCCTAGCAACTTGACTCACACCTAAACATAGCAAACAGTCTGTAATGTTAGCAAATGTAGCAACAGACACATCCTTTAATAAGAATAATAATCAGACTACGCGCTATCTAACGCTATAGTTTCACGCGCATTCATGTCACCGCCTCACTCATCGCGAGAGTATCATAAACGGAAGTGTTCAGACGTATCATGTGATTTGTTCTTGCTGGCACCCTGCTTGAGTAGCTATGTCAAAATAATTGTCATTTTGACAGGACGGGTTTAGAAAACGAACGCGTTTTACCAAAAAGGGAGTCTACAAGATGCAGAACGTGATAAACACAGTGAAAGGCACGGCACTCGGAGTGGCTGAGTTCCTCACCCCAGTGTTGAAGGTAAACTTACATTACATGAGCTAGCTTGTTGATAGGTGGTGGCTACTATGAGGTGTCATAAACACATGAACAGATGATCAGTGCTAGCCAGTAGCTCACAGTAACACAGTAACACAGTAACAGTATTCATTTAGCGAGTGTTAACTAAAACAGTGATTAGATACAAGCTAATAGACCTAAAGGAATATCGACCCTTCATATAATCATTTGCACAATTCTGCTTTATGCGCTCCACGTCTATTTACAGCTGGATGTTAATGACTTTTTATTATTAATCTCAGGAATCGAAATTCAAAGAGACTGGAGTCATTACACCAGAGGAGGTGAGAACATGCTTGTTAAAGGCCCATCTATCATTTTTGATTATTATTTCACCTTTCTCTAAATCATACAACTTGTCTGTTAAAGGTTCATGCTTAATCCTCTTCCTTTGTATTTTAGTTTGTAGCAGCTGGAGATCACTTGGTTCACCACTGTCCCACATGGAAATGGTGAGTGTATACTCGGAGCTGAATCACACATAAATGAATCTGTCATAGTAAGTGTGCCACAATGATTATTAGCTCTTGAATGTGTTGTTGATGTTTGGGAGAGTGGTCACAAGAAGGAGCTCACAGCTCAACTTTCAAATAGGTCGTTATTTTATTATCTTGTATTGTTTGTTTGTCTCTGTGGTACACTGTATATACACACATGGACAAAATTGTTAGTACCCTTTCGTTAAAGTAAGAAAAAACCCACAAAGGTCGCTGAAATAACATGAAACTGACAATAATAAATACAAATTTACTGAAAATTAACTAATGAAAATCAGACATTTTTTTTAAATTGTGCTTCAACGACAAACAAACTAATGAAACTGGCATGGACAAAAATGATGATTATTACTTTTGTCAGTTTCAAGTTATTTCAGTGACCACTGTAGGTTTTTCTTTCTTTAACGGAAGGGTACCAAGAATTTTGTCCACATGTGTAGAACCACCAAGGTACTCATACATACACACAGACAGATGGCTGTATGATGGTAGGAAATGCTACTGTTATGTCAAAGTAGTCAGTGTGATTTCTGGTAGTAGTAATGTCAGTACTGTAGTTACTGCTAATAGTAATGTTAGTACTGTTGTTACTGTTGATAGTAATGTTAGTACAGTGGTTACTAGCGGTAGTAATGTTAGTACTGTGGTTACTGCTGATACTAATGTTAGTACTATGGTTACTGCTGATACTAATGTTAGTACTGTGATTCTGACTGGTAGTAATGTTAGTACTGTGGTAATGATTCTTTACGCAATCAGTTCTGATTCTGTGTAACTTGTAAGGCTTTACAGTAACAATACCTGACCTGTTGTGGCTCTTGAATGCTCACTTCTCTGTTCCTCTTGTTGAATTTCACAGTATAGTGCAATATTCCACTTGAAGAAACCCAAGTTGCATCACACCATTTATTGTCACCTCATAGCACATTATCAACAACTGAGAATGGAATTAAAGAGATAATTTTCTCTATTGTTGAGTTATTTTGTATCTTTTATGTCAAAAGTTTTTTTTGGCACCAGAAGTCAGATACTGTTTTGGCATTTTTATTGTAAACATCTCAATGATACACATCCCTGTTGGCACAAGATTGTCTAAACCTCTTCCACTCATTGATTTGTGTTGCCCAAACACATTACACTTCAGTCATTAAGCTTATGTTCCTCCTTTAAAAAGGCATATGAAAGTAAACCTAAAACAGTGGTTTATAAAACCTGAAATTAATGTGAATTAAGTCAAGTTTAAAATAAGGGATTTTGTGACCAGTGTTTTTAGTGACAGTATAATGAGCACAAAATACATGGCCTGAAATAATGTTTTTATCTCTGTGATTCTGTCTCCCAAGGGCCAGTGGGGAAGAGGTCAAGGTGAAGCCATATTTGCCTCAGGATAAACAGTTTCTCTTGACACGCAATGGTAAGAAATGGATTTAAAGCATGGACCTCTCATTTTTCTTCCACACCTATAAGCTACTCACTTTCACATCAACAATTTGTATTTGTTACATAAACAACTCTCTCCAGGTTCCCCATAGATGATAGTTCCCCAGTGAAGTAACTCTAAAATTTCCATGGGTTTGTCCTAATGTGATTTGCAGTGTGCAAACTGGCTAAGTGTCTTTGCATTAATGAAATGGTAAATGGTAAATGGACCTGTACTTGTATAGCACCTTTCTAGTGTTCCGACCACTCAAAGCGCTTTTACACTATGTGCCACATTCACCCTTTCACACACATTCACACAAAAAAAATGTGAGTTATGAAAGTAAAATTGAATAGCCCTAAAATCATTTTATTCCGTTTTTAAGAATTTGTTTATTAATTGACATTTATATATATACTAAATTCACTTAACACTGAATGTTGCAGTGGAGCAATGGCTTCTTAAAAAAACAAAACGCAAAAACTTTCTTTTTTGACTTTCCACACTCTTTCCAACAATCACCAACACTGGTTTGGTCAAAATAAACACTTAATTCACAGAGTTAGCTGTGGAAATGTCTGTGAAAAGGGCTGCAATTGCTACAGTGTAAGCCAATGTTAATCCTTGAGGACAAATGCACATGTCAGTATGTCTACTAAAAGTGCCTGTTTTTGCCATTGACTCAGGCTCAGATTGTTATTCTTAGTGACAACATTATGGGAAGAGATAGACCTTTTGTTTGACCAGAAACAGCAGTAATATCGCTATCACTTGCACAGGATTCCATAGACAAAAATGGTAATTTTAACTAGCATATCATTGTAACATCATAACTTAATTCTAAGTGGACAGAAACAAAATAAAACTCACCAAAAACATCTGTGTTAGTCTTTCCACTGTTCCAACAATCACCAGCTCTGTTTAAATCTCATATATATATATAAAATCTTCAATAACAAATCAATAATCTACTAAATGTTTTCAAATATTATTTAAATGTAAAAATATTTTTTCAATTTAATTGCTTATTGATTTTAACTAAATTCTAATTAACACTGAAAATGGAAATTTCATTTCAGTGGCACAGTCCAAGTGAAGTTCCCTTAATACTTTGCAGCTGTGCAATAGCTCTTCATTTTCAGTTTTGCAAACTACTACTACTGGTTGCAGCTACATTGCTGTAATACAGACTAATTTCTTCATCTGAACTGTCCCATACATTTATTTTAACTGTCAGCAAACGAAGATTTTTATCCCTACCATCAGCAAATCTGGTTTTGTTTAACCCTACCTCTCTGTGTTGACTCTGTATTTGCAGTTCCCTGTTATAAGCGTTGTAAACAGATGGAGTATTCAGATGAGCTGGAAGCCATCATAGAAGAGGATGATGGAGATGGGGGCTGGGTGGACACTTACCACAACTCAGGTTGGACATCATTTCTCATCATCTACATTTCATTTCATGGTCATCTAGTTCCGTCAGAAACACATGTGGGATGGACTGATGTGCAAACGTGTACGATTAATATATTAATTTTCCTATTTGCTGCAGACTGTTTGCATCTAATCCAGATTATATGTGCCAAATGTGAGGGGAAATGTTCACTTATAAAAGCTTGAAACTGAAACTGGGTATACATGTACAGTTTGGAGCATTTTTTAGAGCATTTTCAAAGGAGACATTGCAAAAATGCCTCGTGGCATTTTTACTTTCTGCCATAACAGAATGATGTATTTTGCATCATATCTCCTGAACCAAACATGATAACACAGAATAGGTAACGGCTGCCCATATGTTTTAATGGTCAAAGATATTTGCCATTTGAGAACCGAGGCTAGACTTAAAATATCATGTCTGTTGCCTGCATGTTCTGGAAAGTTTTCAATCTTAATCCTTAATTAAGTGACTGTAAAGACTAGAACAAGATCAATATAACCAACTTTGCTTAAAAAGAATATGTCATATTGTCAGTTTTTTTATGTAAAAATTAAGATAACTATAGTGAGACCTTAGTAAGTGTCATCGTATATAGAGTTTGTAAAGATGGTCTGAATAGTTTCTGACTGTGATGTGTTTCAGCAGGTGTGTTAGGAGTCACAGATGCTGTACGAGAAATTTCACTGGACAATAATAAGGTACGCTTGTATATTTTTTGGTTTCCTGTTGATTCTTACAGAAGTTTCTTCCATTCACTTTGAAAAATACAAATCTGCTCTGTTTTTGTGAATTAATCAGTTATATCTAAAAATTCTGAAATACTTTTTTATGAAAAAAAAAGTACTCAGTTTTTCTGAATTAACAACATAGCCCCCCTGAGAGAAAACAAAGAAAAACATTTTTTTCTCAAGTGAGTGCAGTATACTTCCGTAGATTCTAAATACAATGTGAAATCCAAAAATTTCAAACGTAAATTATAGTTTAGTAAACTAAAAGCGGTTATAATCAATATTTTTCTAATAATAATACAATGTGAAAGGTGTCTCTTATGAATCTACAGAGAATTATCAGTGGATCATTTAGCATCTTTAGAGCCAGATATTTCCCTCAGGACATGGTAGAGACCAAAAACAGAGCTAAAAGAGAGTGAATATCGGACATTTATCGTGGACACAAACATGTCTCCAAATGCATGATCATGATCATGATGCAACTGCTGAATGTTGAAATAAGCAACTGTTTGCTAACAAGTTCAGCTTAAAAGATGATAATATGTCATGTGTTCACGTACAACAGATATCAAATATCACCCAACATATTATTGTTGTAAATGGTTCTGTTCACCTAAATTAGAATAAACCTGTTTTTGCTGCTCATGGCATTAAAAAATTACATTCAAAGATTTGCCATTACTATCTGCCATATTGTTGAGAAGAGAATAATGGTCTCACACTCAGAGGTTCAGTTCAGTTTAGCGCGTAGGTTCATTCTTGACTTCAGGGAATGCATATACTGTGTGCGTTCTTTAAAAATGTCCACTTACTTAGCTATTTCAGATGCTTTTCATTTCGGTCCTGAGGTTCATATAAAGACCTTTTGAAATTGTGTTTAGTCTTCTGATGTTTATGAGAATTGAGCATTACCACTTTGTTTCAACTGTAGTGCAAGTTCCAAATGGATCCTTTTTACTTTGAATTCCTCTAGGACAAGAATATGAATGCCACATCTGCAGCATGTTGTGACGATGATGATGAAGATGATGATGAAGATGGAGAAGCAGCAGATATGGAAGGTATTCATATCTTACTCATAGCCTCCAGTAATGAGCAGTTACTTTGTTTCTTTCACTTGCTCATGTTGTCTTTAATGCTGTCATTTCAGAATACGAGGAAAGTGGCTTGTTGGAAACAGATGAGGTAGACAGCTCGAAAGGGTTGCAACATGTTATTTATTGTGTGATCTAATATCTGTTATCATCAACCTAACTTCCACCTTAAACTTCTGTCCTCGGTCTAGGCAACCCTGGACACCAGTAAAATGGTGGAAACTAAAGCCAAAGCAGAGCCTGGGAGTGAAGATGCCATCCTTCAGACTAGAACATATGACCTGTACATCACGTATGATAAATACTACCAGACCCCTCGACTCTGGCTGTTTGGATATGATGAAGTATGTACCTGAAAAAGTACAGTATAAGAATGGAAGCGTTTTTCTATTCTATAGAGTGCTGCAAGGATGACATTTTAGAACAACCCAGAAGTTAGCTTCGCTCTGATTCCTTTGACAAAAAGCCAGTGGGATTTCTCATTGGATTGAATTTTGCAGAAAATAAGCTCTGTTGCATACAAATGTTTATGATACTTATATGTTCTGTTAAGTAAGATAATCTTCACAAATTAACACCACTTTTATGATTTTTGAAATGCAATGACTAGAAGTAAAAAGATAACTTTAGGCTATGAACAAACTACACCATGGATGCATGATTTTAACACCACCACCACTAAACTTCCAACTTGTAATTGATTTTAATATATTATATATTATATATATTTAATGTTACCAAAGAAAGCGTGAAAATCTCTTAAGCTTAAACCGATTCAAATATCCACTGACTTAGAGGCGTCATTTCTGGGTTTTGGGACCTATATATGCTGTCAATGTTTGGGACTCATTCTTTCAGCACTCTATAGGAGACAGGAGGCATTTGTCATATAGTAAAATATTTAAATCACATTTAGAGAATCTCAGATTTTACACAGTTCACTATACGTCTTTGTAGCAGTCAAATAACATTCATTTTTAGGACAGAGTTTTGATAAACATGGAAGCCAATAATGTGGAGTTAGTATTCTTTTTCTTAAAGCTGCAGTAAATGATTTTTGTCAGCTATGCTAGGGAAAGACTCCGGAGTTCATCAAGCTGATGTGGTGTTTCCCAGGACAGGCAACCACTGACTGTAGAACAGATGTACGAGGACATCAGCCAGGACCATGTGAAGAAGACAGTCACTATTGAGAACCACCCACACCTTCCTCCACCTGCCATGTGCTCTGTCCACCCCTGCAGGTCAGACAGAACTTGAAGAACAATTTCACCATCATTATTGTAACTTTTGTATAGATGCTTTATCGTGGACATTTTGTTCATTATCAGTCATTGTCTGTGAGTTATAAATTATAGCTTCCACTGCTTGAGAGCTGACAAGCCGGTTCAATGATTTTTGGTTGCCTGATCATGCAGAGCTAATCCTTTAGCTGACATACTCTATAAACAGTGATATTAAAGCCCCACTCATCTGTATCTGTATCTTTACGATATTGAGATACTACAATCAATGATTAACATACAGAAAAAATATATAAATGTTTTTTTTATATAGTGATAGTCTTAAAGGATTTGTTTATGGGTGTTTGATATGTGTTTGATGTGTGTTAAAAATTACACTTTGACAAGAACTTTTGGCTAATCTAACCTTTACTTTCAGACATGCTGAAGTGATGAAAAAGATCATTGAGACTGTGGCAGAAGGAGGTGGAGAGCTGGGAGTACACATGTATCCTTTCGTGGTAATAACATGTTACATGTTAACACAGCAGTTCTAGCTGATTGTTATTAAGGTACTGTCGACAGTAAATATTTTCTAAGGATTTGTGGCCTGTGAGGTGCTAAACAGTCAAATTGTGTTTGTTATTATTTACAAAAGAACCACTGAAAATTGCATGTTGGTCTCAGGTGGTATGTATTTCAAGGGATTCTGTTCAGAGGTGCAAAACATGGGATGTTTCACTCTTGAGATTTTGCCATCTGGCAAGAGATACAGAAGTGAAGTATTGCCATAGCCCACCCTGGTCATCGTCTACTGTACATTATATGGGCCACTCGTATATTGCATATGGTGCTAGATACTTAAATACCTTAGCCGCCATGGTAGAAAAAGTTATGATCCTTTTCATTTTCAACTCACAATGAATTATGTCAATGTGTTGGTAAAATAAAAAAGGTCAGCCATAACATTATGACCACCTGGGCACCCTGGTGGCCATAATGTTA